AGCTGTGGGCGTGGCAGTCGTTGCGGAGGCGACGGTGCCTCTTGTTTCGATTGCGACGACTAGCTTCACAGCAGTGGAAAACGGTGTGATCGTATGTGACTCGGTGGCGGCGTCTTTGGTTGATACGGACGGGTCGGAGGCGTTGTTTCTGGTCATGGATCTCGGTTCGTACGAGCAATACGTGACATCAGTGATGTGGCGATCGGATACGACGGTGGTGGCATTCTCAAAGAATGAGGATGGTTTGGTTCCTACCATGGAATATGGCAGTCCTTCGCAGCGGATTGTGGCCGCTGGAGCTGGTCGTATGGAGATGCGTGGCACTGTGGAGGTCGGACTGGTAGCAGGGTACAGTGGTGACCTGGGTTTCATGATATGGAGTGCGTCCGTCGAAACTGCGTACCTTACTAGTGGCATTTTCACAAATGCTGCCGTCGCGAAGTCATTGCCAAAGTCGATCATTGTTTCTGTTGCGCCTGTAACCAATATGCCTGTAACCAATACGCCGGTGCCATCGACCACGGTTTATCCGGTTGCAGAAGCCCCGAGATTCGTGGCAACCACAGCCGAGCCGTTAACTATGGAAAATGCCGCCGCATTTATCACGGTGAGCAATTGGGCACTCGAAGATGTTGATGGGTCCGAAGAGATGTATCTCCGTCTGCGATGCAACGCCAATACGTGGAAGACGGTATCTGTTGATGGTACGGAAGTGGGCATGATTGTGACAACGGATGTCTCTACAACGGTTTACGAGCTACTCCCTCCTGGTGTCTATCGAAACGAGGGAAGCACCGATCTACACGTGCAATTAACCCCGCCGTCATATTTTTCTGGACCCATCGACTGCAGCCTGGTAGCGCACTCCATTGATCGCATCGGCCTTCTCGTCTCGGAAGACACCTACGAGACGGCTGTGAGCGTGGCAGTCGTTGCGGAGGCAACGGTGCCTCTTGTTTCGATTGCGACGACTAGCTTCACAGCAGTGGAAAACGGTGTGATCGTGTGCGACTCGGTGGCAGCGTCTTTGGTTGACACAGACGGGTCAGAGACGTTGTTCCTGGTCATGGATCTCGGGACGTACGAGCAATACGTGACATCAGTGATGTGGCGATCGGATACGACGGTGGTGGCATTCTCAACGAGAGCGGACGGTGTGTTTCTTAGAACGGAATACGGTAGCACTTCGCAGCGGATTGTGGCTGCTGGAGCTGGTCGTATGGAGATGCGGGGCAGTTTGGAGATCGGACTGGTAGCAGGATATAGCGGTGACCTGCGGTTCACGATATGGAGTGCGTCTATCGAAACGGTGTACCTCTCTAGTGGTATTTTCACCAAAGCTACGGTCGCGAGGGCGTCGCCAATCTCGATTGATGTCTCTGTCTTACCTGTAGCGAATACACCTATGCTGGATGCCAAGGTCGTGCAACGAGTGGCTCGTTTAGGTGCAGCAGTTGTGCTGTCAATTGGCACCATCTCTTTGCGGGACTTGGATGGATCAGAGGAGCTATCAGTCGAGCTGATAGCGGATGTTAAGTCGGACGCAGTGACCGTATTTTTCGACGGACGAGTGCTCCAGGCCAAGCTCGAATCGAGCCCAACGTTATCATCATTTAAAAACGAGGTGTCTACACCGCATGCTGTCTACGCACTACCCGTACGGACGTCCACGGACGGCATCATGGATGCCGAGATTATGATAGTAGCAGTGGATGCACTGCTCACAGGCATGTTCAGTGTCTTCCTCACGGCAACATCCCGCGAGCTTTACTACACGAGCACGTCGAGTGCTACTACAGCTTCAGTAGTAATGTCGGCTGTGGTGGGGTGGGTGGCGGAACCTACTGTTTACTACGGCAAGCCGCTGGACTTTTGGTTTGAAGGACACGAAGACACAGCCATGTCCATCCCACTGAGCAGCGTTCGTGAGAGACTGTTGGTCGATGTCCGATTGAGCGACGCTAGTGCAATAGTGTACAGCCACTGTCGACTTGCATGGGATAAAGGTCGAGTTCAGGCGGTGTTTGTAGACGATGAGAGAGTGCCGGTACCTGTTTCCATTGCCGGCAGCTTCGGCTCACTGGTGTTTGCAGAGTACCAGGAGTTTGCGTTCGACACATCGGAGAACTTAAGTGTGGTTCCAGTCCAGGGATACTCTGGTCAAGTGGCCGTCTCTCTGGTAGTTCACGCATACGCGCCTACGTTGGGCCAAGTGTATATGCTTACGGCTACATTCCGGATATCAACGCTTCCGATGGCAGCTAGCCGCTTCTTCTCAGCGATGCCGAACGGGTCAGCACCCATCCACTTCGGGTTCAACCACGAACTGGATGTGGTGGTGAGCGAGGGTGTCGCATCGACTGGGGACACAGAAGTAGTGTCGCTCCGTGCTGTAATGAACGACCCTGGTGCCGCTGTGGTAGCGCAAGACTCGCCGTTCTGGAGGTCCGAACTTACTGCTATCAACGGTGATCCGTGGACTCCGAATACCGTGTTCATGCTGGACGACGGGAGTGAGTCTTTAAACAGCACCTTGACTATTTCACCTCCTCGGAATTTCATCGGCAGCTTACCCTTGACTTTACAGTCAGTGGCAGCGACGAGCAACTTGGTTCCGTCCGAGCTTGTAGCCGGTGTGACAGTGACCGAAGCAAATGGGCTGGAACACGCATGGATGACGATCTTATCGACATCTATCGTGGACATCGTTCTGCCAACGCAGTGGAACCACGCTCAATCCCCTCGGTTCAGTGTGATGAATGCGGGCGAAAACGTGTACGAAGACGAATTGGGTGTTCTGTGGATCTCGGAGCTGTCGGTGACAGAGCTGGATGCCACGGCTCCAGATGTTAATGTTTCTTTAGAGATACTACTACCAGAGAATTGCAACCTGTCCGTGTCTATGGATACTTCGACAATGTTGGCAAGTGGAAGTCAGACGGTAGACGGTATGGTATACACGGTGCTGCCAGCTCCTGTGACTTCGCAGGCTGTATACTTCGCCGCTGGGTCGACGCACCCGACACACGTGATAGCGTTTCTCCGCGCGACTGTGTTTGCATTCAGCAGCTGGAACTGGACGTCGATCCCGGTGAGTTTGCACTTCTTGACGGTCGCAGAGAAGCCGACGTTGTCGATTGCGACGACGAACATGTCGATCACTGAGGACGGGGTATTTTCCGGGATCATTACGGTGATGCCAACGAAGGCAGATCTGTACTACCGCATTCAAGCGTTTTACCCGTCCAATTATATTTCTCAAGTGGCTAATGCTAGCTCAAGCACGAGCTGGTCTACAGGTGCTGGAGTCTCTGGTCATTTGCTATCGTCGTTTTCGACACAATTGGGGTCTGGAGTAGGCAATTCTACGACGATTGCTTTGTCACTGGTACCTGTGCCGAAGATTTCTGGAAATTTGATGGTGGATATAGTGGTGGTGACGTCGACAGTGGATGTGGCCGATGATTTATTTACGTCTGACTGCTATCTGCGTGTCATCAATAGTTTGGACTTATTCGGGTGTCTTCCCTTTGTTCAGTGGAAGTCGTTGGCCGTGACGTCCCAGCCGATTCCTCTCGTAATTTATCCGGTTGCGGAAGCACCGAGACTGGTCGTGACGCCCTCCGTTCTATCAATCACTGAGAATGGCGAAGCTTCTGTTACACTGAGCAACTGGACTTTGCCAGACATCGATGGATCTGAGAGAATGGATCTCCGACTCCGGTGCACGAACACCGCGTGGCAAATGGTGTTTGTCAACGACGTTTTATGCCACGCATTAGTACACGATGCAGATATGACCACCACTTTTGATATACTGCCACTTAATGTGTATCGAAGCGATGGAAGCGCCGAACTGAGTGTCCAACTAAGTCCCCCGTCTTTCTTCTCTGGGTCCATTGACTGCACCCTTGTGGCGCACGCTATTGATCGCAGCGATGAGTTCGTCTCGGAAAATACATATGAGGCGGCGGTGACCGCGACAGTCATTGCCGAGGCGACGGAGCCTCTATTCTCAATAGCAACAAGAAGTTTCACGGCAGTGGAAGATGGTGTGATAGTGTGTGACTCGGTAGCAGCATCACTGCAGGATACGGATGGATCTGAGGCGTTGTTTTTGGTCGTGGATTTGGGAGATTACGAGAAGTACGTGACTTGGATAACGTGGCGATCAGATGAAGTGGTGATGGCGTTCTCAACGGAAGCAGATGATGTGGTTCCTACAATAGTATACGACAAGCCATCGCAGTGGATTGTGGCAGCTGGAACTGGTCGTGTGGAGATGCGTGGCAGTGTGGAGATCGGACTAGTTACAGGGTACAGCGAAGAGATAAACTTCAGCATGTGGAGTGTAGCGGCTGAGAAGGTATATTTGGTTTCGAGTGTGGCTTCGGATGTAGCTGTTGCACGGGCGTTACCACTTGAAATTACTGTTACTATCAGTCCGATATGCCACGTAGCTACTGTGGAGTTGAGCCCAGTATCGGCAGTGACGAAGCCGTTAATTGCTGTCCCGATTCAAGTGATTGCATCTACTATCGACACGGATGGCTCTGAGATCATAGCAGCACAAGTATCTGTTAATCGTTCGGCAGTGTTGAGTCTCTATGGAACAAACTCGTCGGAGAATTGGCTCACAGATTCCGATACAGTCACGCTTCCTCCAGTATCAACCCAGAGCGTTTTCCGTGTGGATCAGACGTTTGCGGTCGTCCCACGAGCTGATTTCGTGGGATTCTTTACGGTCAACGTGACAATTAAGACAACAGAGTTGGCGACTGGAGAAGCCACGCTCAATTCCGTATTTACAACACTTTTAGTGATTCCAGTGGACCCCGTTATCCGTGTGAATACCTTATCTCATGGGTATTGGAACGAATTCGTCCAGCTGCCGTTCCAGAGACTCGATATACAACAGGAAGATGTCAGTCGTGAAAATCTACTGCTTTACGCGGAGAATAGGACTCAGATCGCAGACGTTTACGCTGGCATCAAGCGGTTGGTACCAGTTAAGCTAGGGGCCGTCGACGTCTACGTGGTCCCCTACACTCTACGCGATGTGGTTAGCGTACGACCGCGTCAGTATTGGTACGGGTACATGAAACTATTCGCTATCATGACGACCGTGGCGTTCGATATCGACTCGACATCTAGTCAAACGGCGTACCAAGGCACTGGAAACGGTATTGCGATCATAGATTTACCCGTGACAATCCACCCGCGACCGGTCTCGCCGTCATACAGTCTTGTTTCATCGTCTGATGTTGCAGTGTCCGGGAAGATTATTTTTCTGATGTTTAACAGTGTTCTTCCGTACGACGCATGGGGCAGTTCGACCGGAGATATGGCGACTCAATTGGCACTCACTCCTTTGCGTATCATGGACGCTGTATTGGTTAACCGGTCGGTGGTTGCGAGTAACGCAGCCGTACGTGGAGTCGGAGAGTATGGAGTATACTCGATGAGTAACAGTTGTGGTGAAACACACGTACACGTTATCGTGGATACGGTATCTTACTACACTGGGACACTCTTAACGACTGTGGTAACTAACACCTCGGACGTGCTTCGACAGACGACAGTAACAAACGTTTCTAACAGCAAAGTGGAGCTGATTGGAGAAGCTGAACGAGGAACGCTGGGCTTTGGTAATGCCGTGCGTGTGTTCCACGTTGCAGACAACCAGAACGTGACGTTCCGTCTTGCAGACTTTGGATTGATGAGTGAACTGACTGATCTAGTGAGTGTACAAGTATTTATACCTGATAACGCCGTTGACGCTGTGGCTGTAGGATCGACGCAGTTAAGTGGGGAAAAGGAGGCACAGTGGGGTGCAACGATGAGCTTTGGAGATTTACGGTATGAACTTTACGGAGACAAGAGTCCTGTATGTTTACCTGCAGTTGAGCCGTGTCTACTTAACCGAATTGTGACGATATCACCACTTAAATATGCAACACAGACGTTCAACATTACCATGAGGATCACGTCCACAGTATCAGCGAACGACAATTCTTTTAGCTCACTGTCGACCGTCACTACCATCGCAAGATGCCGAGTGGTGGTGGCTCCTGTACCAAATGCCCCATTACTGGTGTTGAACAGTACAGCAGTGACGATGCTGGAGGACGTGGCTGGAGCGTTCATAATCGTTGAGGCTTCTACACCCGATCGAGATGGATCGGAGATAATTGAAGTGGAGATGAACTTCGACCCAATTTATCTCGACGCAGTTCTGGTGGATGGAGTGGCGGTAACGACGCCTACCGTCGCAGGCCCTATCGTGCTTATTCCTCGCCGTTATGCTGTCTTTAACATAGCAAATCGTATTGTATCTCTTGCCCCTCGTCGAAATTTGGCCGGGAACTTCACGGTTCAAGTCGCTGTCACGAGTACCGAACGATCAACAGGTGAGAGTAGTCGAGTCTCGACGAATGTAAATGTGAACATCGTTGCCGTCGCGGACGCGCCAGTGCTTCGTATCGGCACGTCGGATATTCGTGTGAACCAGAATACCTCCGCTGAGCTCAACATAACTTCAGTGGGTCTAACAGATGACGACAATTCCGAAACTCTTCGTCTTGTGGTGATCGATCCAAGTGGAAGAGCTCTCAAGACTGTAGAAGTGATCGGTGGCGAGCCGTTCGTGAAAGACAGTACTTCCAGTAAATTTGTGCTGACTTCAGTGCACCTTACAACTCTAACACTTCGACTCACTACGATTGGTACGTGGTTCGGCTCAACGCAGCTTCAGATCAACGCCGTATCCCGAGAGTCAAGTAACGGTAACGAGTTCACGACGTCGACTAACGTAACGTTTACGGTACACCCCGTGGCTGATACACCGACGCTTGTGGTGGAGAATACTCGTGGACAATTAAATAAGACGACTCGGATTGGTCTTTTGTCAGTGGGTATTCCAACTGATACAAAGTTAAACGCGACGTCGTTAACGGTGTATTTACTGCCACGATCGAGTGACGTTATAGAAGTAAAGTGGCAGTCCCAAGTGTTGTTATTAACTTTGGCAGATGTATCGCCTTCTGCAGTTTACAGACTCCCGTCGAACAGTACATTGCAACATCCTACGCTTACTGTAAGTACCGCCAAATGGGTGAGTTCGGTAAGCTTCGAGATGGTGGTCGTTTCATCAATTAGCGCATCTAGTACGATGCAGCGTGCGTCACAAGTTGTTACGGTGACATTCGGAGCGATTCAGCTATCCGCGACGAGTTTCAGCCTTACGAAAGGTACTTCGGGGACGCTATCGCTAACGATGCTTAGCGCGCCATTGAATCCCGTAACTGTAACTCTAAACAGTACTCTAACCGCAAAAGCAATTACTGTGCCCACGATGGCTACATTTACTACGACAGACTGGAATGTTACCAAGATCATCCAGATCCAAGCGTTGAATAACTATCTCGAAGACGCGAATGCTGTTGCTACGATCACTGGAACAACAACGTCGAATGATACAGTATACTCTGGCTACTCTATACCGAACGTAACTGTGGATGTTCTTAACGATGTCTCCGGCTTTGCTGTTTATCAGGGAAGCTCGAAAACTACTACTCCAGCATTAGTCGTCGCGGAGGGACGGGTCTTCACAGACACGTACAACATCATACTGCGAGCACAACCTAACGCAAATGTGTCAGTACTATTCACTGCTTCTCTTTCGATTCTTCTGGTATCTCCGACAAATATCACCTTCACAACAACAAACTGGAACGTCTCGAAAGCGATTACAGTGGCAGCGGACGATAATTTTGTGGTTGACGGTGATAGAACGGCGACGATATATTCTGCTGTAACGAGTACAGATCCACTGTACGCCACCAAGACGATCGGTCCTGTGACCGTCAAGATCGTCGAAACGAAGGACATTACGCCTCCTCCAAAGGTGCTAGATGCTAAGTTCTTAGACACAGCTGTCGGTCTTACTATCACGTTCGACCGAGCGGTTGATCGAACGACACTTACAGCCGATAATTTCGCCTGCAACGTACTGTTTGACCTCCCTTTAGCGACGGATTCGACGAATTACTGTGGTGTATCTCCATCGTGTACGTGGCTGACAGGGTCCGCGTCGATCCGATTCGTATTCGGGCAAGGCGTTAGAGTTGTACCAGGTAGTGCTCTAACGTTACGGGGTAATCTGTTAAAGTCCACTGCGACCGCAGCGCTAGCAGCACCGACGACGACAGTGATGATCAGTGCGCCGGATAAGCCTCCACAGCCACAGGTGCTAGTAACCGGAGCCACTTCTCTTGGTATGTGCGACGACCTCGTGCTAGACGGTTCTAGTTCTTCAGGATCCGGCGGCCGTCCGATGACGTACACGTGGATACTACTTAACACTACAAACGTGACTTCTGTCGCTGTAAACGCCGTCACAGCTCTACTAACGTCCGCTGCGACCACGAACAACGTCACGATAAAGATGAGTGCATCTTTACTGGAAGCGGATGGCACGTACTCGCTTATCCTTCAAGCCAAGAACTTCTTCGGTAAAACAGGCAACTCGAACGAGATCCTCGTTAAAAAGTCCGGAATGGCTCTTCCGGCTGTGTCTATCAAGGGTGGGAACTTACAAAGAGTTTATCGTGCGAATGAACTGGTGATCACTGCTACTGCCAGCTATCCGTCGTGTTCTGAGTCGGTGTCAACAGATACTGATGCTTCAGTATCAACCGGTGTGAACATGGCGTTCACGTGGCTTCAAGTGACGGGAGATCTGACATCTACGCAATTCAAATCGACCAGTCCGAACCCGCGTATTCTCAAGTTACCAGCTAGGACTCTAACCGTGGGGGTGGGCTACGTGTTCCGGCTTATAGTGGCCATGACATCCAACCCTAAGGTGAACAACAGCGCCGACGTACAGATCAACGTGGTGCGTACAGACTTGACGGCGTTGATAGCGGCGGGAAACAGATCGATCGGCGTGGAGCAGGATCTGGTGCTGGATGGATCGCTATCCGTCGATCCAGATGGCATTCAAAACTCGGTATCGATGCAGTATTCCTGGACGTGCTGGACGCTACACACAACTACTCAAGTGTACGACGTTGCATGCTTGACTGCCACGAGAGAGACTTTAACGCTCGACTCAAAGGCGAAGATTACTGTGGCTGCCAACACGGTGAACCCGAATACGGTGTACAAGTTCGCTCTAACCGTATCCAAAGACACTCGAACAAGCAGCACTAGTGTGTTTATAACCATGACGCCTGGATCTCCACCTCAAGTTTCAATCGAACCATTAGGCTCCGCGAAGGTAAATGCTAATGACCGAGTGATCCTCAAAGGAAAAGCAGTGTCTAAACTCCCGCTTACTAAGACGGAATGGACGCTGGTGGGGGCGTCGGACGCTACGATGAGCTCCATCTTCGCCGTCCCTCGTGGACGTCTGATGATGCTTCTAAGCGAGGGAAAACTTACACCCGGAGTGTCGTACAAGTTTCAACTTAATGCGACGGATTCCTCCGGACAGACAGGCTCAGCGATGATTACAGTCGTTGCTAACTCACCTCCTAGCAGCGGATCACTAACTGTAACGCCAGCAATTGGTTACGCTCTTGAAGACACATTCTCTCTACTCGCAAGCGACTGGGTGGACGAGGACTTGCCGCTTAAGTACACGTTCAAGTACATTAAAGGTGCTACGTACTCTGGAGAGAATGAGATCGCGTTGGGAGCGTCTGTACCGGATGCACTCTTTCAATCACAACTTGGACAAGGAGGAGGTGACAACAACACCGTCACGCTTGTAGTGTACGTTCAAGACGCACTGGGAGCAACGACGCGAGTGACCAAGGAGATCCAAGTCAAACCGATGGTGGTAGCTGCAGCGGATCAGGCGGCGTATCTGGCGAACAAGACGAACGCAATAATGGCCGAAGCGCTATCTGGGGATCCAGGAAAGGTACTTAACACTATCAACGCGCTGGCAGACATGGTAAACGGGAAGGAGGAGATAGCAAACGGAACGACGGGAAATGTGTCGACCCCTGCTACAACCATGAAGAGCTGTCCGACTTCCAATTACGTTGAGTGTGGCGGAAAGGGAAGTTGTGCACGAGAGCCTACAGGATGTTTAGCTTCGAATGTGGATTGTATCGTCACGTGTGTGTGTTTTAGCGGATATTATGGTGACAACTGTGCGCTGGATGAGGCGGCGATGGCAGCGAAGAGTGCGGCGTTAGCGACGCTTCTCGGTGCGATGACGAAGGCCTCAGCGTCCGTAGATGTTACAGATGTGGCGGCGTTGGAGCAACAGGCAGCAAGTGTGGTGACATTGACTAAGAGCGCCACTATCCTTGACTCAAACTCGCAGAAGTTGGTATTGAACGTTATGGACAACATCTTGGCTGCCCCCGTGCTCACACCGGCAGCGACGGCGGCGGTGGGCAACACCATCTCCAACCTTCTAGAGATCGATAACTCAGGCGCAAAGACGACAACGCCAGCATCAGCAACGATGAAGAGCCCAACGTCGACGCCTACGACCACTACTAAGACTCGACGGTTGACTGATTCGAGTGGAGATTATAGCGGCGGTACGGACGCTGCAGTCGGAGACAGTGATACTAGCTCCTCCGTCGGGAGTACGTCGAGCTCAAGTGGCAGCACGATTCCGGACGAATTTGCGGCTGAGAAAGCTCACGCTGCCCAGGTTGCCAGCACTATTGGGAAGTTGCAGACGGCTATGCTTTCGTCTGCAGTCGCAGGCGAAGAACCGGTCACTCTAGTTACCAAGAATCTTCGCCTCGTAGGAGCTCGTGATACAGCGTCTCAATTCTCCAACGGACGAACGGTTCAACTTCCACTCAGTGCTGCTCAGATCGCAGCTAACTACACACCAGCTTCCACAACATTTCCGACGGATTTCGCGACATATCTGAAGAGCGGGACGAACGGCAGTATAAGTGGCTCTGGAGCCGACGAAACAGACGAAGACGACCCGATTGTGGACTTCCAGTCCAACGTCTTCGCTAGAAACCCATATGCGTTCGATAACACGTCGATTAACTCGCGCGTCATGACAGTTAAAATGAGTAGTAACGGCGAAGAGGTCGCAGTTCACGGTCTGCAGACTCCGTTCCGCTTGTTTATGCGAAATCTTTTGCCTGTCACGTTGCCGTCGAACGATACTGCTGGGAACACTACTGCGTCGTCTAGCGAGAGCGGCAATAATAGCTCGAATGGTGCACAGCGCTACACGTTCTACTGCTTGGAAGACACCATTGATGTTAAGTATTTCAACTGTACGGCCATTGAGGAGCTTATGACCGTGCAGTGCAATGGTTCAAGCTATGCCGGTGAAGCTACGTGTCCTGTACGTCAGCCGTCGTGTACGTATTGGGATACAACAGCCGGAACGTGGTCGTCCGATGGCTGTCAGGCAGTAGGAACCACAGATGACGGCCTCTACACGATCTGTGAGTGCACGCATCTGACCGATTTCTCCTCTGAAGTTACGCAGTCATTGAGTCTCGTGACGGAGCATTTCATGAACGTCGTAACCCACCAGGTTACGGCCGAGGACGTGGAGGAGAACTTGCTTCTTATATTGACTATGACTGGCTTCTTCCTCTTCTACGTTGTCTCAGTCTTCTACGTGAACCGCTGGGACTATCGAGACCGTCGTAAAGCGATGCGAGCGACACGGCAGATGAAGAGAGGCGCTGCACCTCCTGATAAGCTCAAGCTGCGGTCTCTGTTCCAGGAACCAGAGTATTTGCAAGCCAAGGACTGGCGCTCCAAGCTGCGCGCGGTGGTCGTAGGCTTTGGACGCGGACTGAAACTAAACCACAAGCTGCTGTCCATCGTGTTCAGATACAACGAGAATTACTCTCGCGCGCAGCGACTGACGGTCGTCTTCACTCTTGTTGCCAGTCACATGTTTGTCAACGCGCTGCTGTATCAACTCAAGAAAGGGCCGAAGAGTGTCGGAACGTCCGTCGTGTGTGCAGTAATCACTATGATGTGTCTGCTTCCGGTGGGTTTTGTGCTCATGATGATGTTCAAGAAGGCCGGGCGGACGCAGAAGTACCTCATCCGATATCAGGTAGAAGACGACGTCGGGAACATCGTGGAAGTGGAGACAGATGCCTACGGACGCGCGAAGGAGTACTCCCCAGCTGAACAGCTCTCTATGGACCTAGCAGTCCTTGCCCGCGGTGTCGATATGAACGCTTTACGACTGGTACACGACAATCTGGAGCAGCAACAAGGTCTTGAGACTCGAAGCGGTCAAGTGTGTCGCGGTATTTTCCTGGCGTTGTATAACCGGGATGTAGACGCGAAGCCGCCAGAACATCACGAAGGAGACGTCGATGACGACCCACTGGCTGGAGTACTAGTGCAGATCAAGGCGCATCTAAGAGAGCAGAAAACTCAGTCGCACAATGAGGATACGCACAGACAAAGCCGTCTTCTGAGCGCCTTACCGTTTAAACGGCACTCTTCGGAAGCAGCGCCATCGGCAGAGTCTGTTACGGATATACGTGCTGGAATGATGCCGCCGGCAGCTCCAGTACTGGTGGATCTGAAGCGTATCGATGAGGAGGAAGAAAAGATAGTTGTGACAGAGCGTAAGGCGCTCGCGTTGAGTCAATTGTGCACCATGATGAAGCGGCAAGGCGGCGAAGCACTGATCAATAGTATGCTGAAGTTTGACCCCCTGTTGGTATCCGCGGCGTCAGCTAAGTCGATCGCTGCCATCTGCGAACGCCTGGACGTTCTCGAAGAAGAGGATGAAGACGACGTTAATGACGAGAACACAAACCCTCAAACGAGCGAAGAAGAAGCAGCAGCAAAAGCTGTGTTGGCGTTGCAAGCGTGGCTGGTTAAGTGCAACGAGTCTTGTGAAGCGCAGCAGACGAACGCGCGTGTGATCGTGTCCAAGGCACAGGCAGAACTGGAGCGTACCGAGACTCAATTGAAGAAACTACGCAACGCCATTGGCAACGAGTTCGACCGCCGTATATCTGAAGCCATGGCGATCGAACTCAACGGACCGAACGTCAACGATCTACTCGACAAGAGCCGACAGAGCGTGCGTCGTGTAGCCCGTCGACGGCCAAAGGACCAGAAGGCGGAAGCAACTCTACGAGAGGATAAACGCCGTATCACAGTGACTATCAAGAAGGACACCCAGGCCGTTCTCAAGGCCAATCAAGCGCAACTCGTTGAGAAGCGCAAGGCCATTAAGAAGGCGAAACAAGCCGCTAGAACGGAGCAGCGGCGACTGAAGCGTGAGCGCAAGCACGAACAAGACAAGATACTTGAAGGATTACGCGGAATCGCACGGCTTAAGAAGCGTCTGCGACTGTACTTAGAGGCCCGAGAAGAACGCAAGATAGCGGCGCTACCACTTCATGAACGCCAGGCGTATTTGACTGAGAAGGAGCAACTCAAGAAGATCCAACGCACGTCCAGACTGCTGTACAACGCATTCTTGCGACGCCAGCCAGCGCATCAAACTAAGCCGTTGCTGCCGGAATGGGTCGTGTACTTGTCGTACACAATCTGCGGCGTCTGGAGCGCCTGGTGCGTCTACTTCGTGCTCATGTTTGCCTTCACTATCGATCAAGTGGAAGCGCAACTTTGGGTGACGTCTCTGCTCTCAGGTTTGGCGCTTAGGTACCTCATCTCGGATCCGCTCAAAGTGTTCTTCCGCATGGGTCTTATGCCTATCGTCGCGGCTGGAGTTCTTGCCAACTCGGGCTTCTTTAGCGCTCTCAGCTCGGAACCCTTGGCGTTCGGAGCTGCTGTAGTCGCGGTGGGTGCCGGCAGTATGGCTGAGTATGTGGAGAAGAATCGACGGGAACGTCGCAGCCAGCGCAAACTTTCCAAAGCGAACTCGACGAAACTAGTGCCGGTGAGTACGGCAGAAGAAGAGAACAGTGCTGCAGAAGGTGAACCAGTTCACGTAGACAAGGTGGTGGAGATGGGACGCGTGGACGCAAACGACAGCGGAGACGACAGTGAAGAAGAATCGGAGAGGACGAACGACTCGTTCATAGACCTCACCCGGCTCAGCGTGCGCGACAGCGTCTTCAATCAACCTTCGCACGGACCGCCCAAGCTTGCAGTCAAGAAAGGCCCACCCGTTGTGATGCTGCGGTCGAGTGGGGCAGTCATAGCTGAGCCACCGCTGACTGAGTGTGCGTCGGCGGTGCCGGTGGATCTTACACGAGAGTGCGCGTGTGGCATGAAGGTGTTGGATGCGCAATGGACTGAGCATGAAGCTGCACACCCCTCGTCTGAAATCGTAAGGTGCCGTGTTGGATGCGGGAGATCCATGCAGGCTCGAGGACGTGACGCACACGAGCGCAGCCACTGCCGACTGATCATGTGTGACTGCGGCAAGATGGTGCCGACTCCGTCACTGGAGCTGCATCGCACTGCCGTAGATGCAAACGACGGTGTGCTGTCACCTGGTGTCGTTCCTGCGGACCGGGACCCGGTCGTTCCGTGTAGACTACCTGGTTGTGCAGCGAGTATGCGTGCGTCTCGCCGTGATGACCACGAGAAACACGACTGTTTGTTTCGACTTGTACCGTGTCGGCGCTGTGGCGTCGAAAACCTCGCCGGGGAGATGGATACGCATTTGTCTCGTGAATGCACGCAACGACGACAGTCTCAACTGACGCTCTGTGTGTGTGGCAAGATGGTCAGGAGAGGCTCGATGGAGACGCATCGGACCAACGAATGCAGTCGAAGAGAAGCTACCAGCGACGAAACTGTACAGAGAGCACCATCACTGTCCGTTCTGGTGGAATGTAGACTACCGGGTTGTACTGCTCGCGTGGTCGAGACGCTGCGAGAGAGTCATGAACGTGACTGCAGTTTCCGTCTAGTCACGTGTCCGCAGTGTTCAACTGAGCATCCTGCAATGAAAATGGAGCAGCATTTAACCGGGTGCACTAAAAAAACAGAGCCTCAACCGATTCTCTGTGCTTGTGGAAAACTTGAGACGAAGGAAGCTGCGCACTGCTGTACAGAAAGGGGTTCGGCTACAATTCAGCCACAGGCTTTACTCGTAGTGTGTCGCCTTCCTGGATGCAACGCACGGATGCGAGCAGCACTTCGCGAAGCTCACGAACGGCACGAATGCGCTCACCGCATGGTGACATGCATTAAGTGTGGCCAGGAGCGACATGCAGCAGACATGGAGACGCATCTGTTGGGCGAATGCGTTCTGCAGAATACTCAGCAGCCAGTAAAGCGACCCGTGAGTGCGTTTGAACCGCCTACTGACGCCGTGCTCAATATCAGCAAGAGAACCATTGAAGTTCCTCCTAGTCCCAAAAAGAAGACTACAAGACTACCTGCGATCACTACTGTTATCGACAGTGAAGCTTCGACTTCACCGACTTCCCCTACAATCGCTAGTCAAACAGTTAGTGTACTACCTGGAAGTGTGGAGTCGACGGATGAAGCTTTGAAGGGCGATCAGATGTTCTCTCGACGAGATACACATACAGCATCGCGAGCCACTACATCCCGTTCTGATGGAGCGTCTTCTATTGGTAGAGCCCAGACCAAGCCACAGTTTTCTCCACGACTCGAGAATGACTTGTTGGGTCATTGTGTTCAGGACAGGGACCATCAAAGTGACATAAAACCTGGTAATTGCACCCGTTAGAGGTAAAAGGATGGGGATTATGAAGGTCCACCTTAGCTCCTTCAGCTAGAGTTGTGTCGTCTCCAAGGGAAGACAAAATAGTGGCTACGGTGCTTGCAGGTGGTACAATTTTACTCAAACCCACAGTGACAAATACAATCGAGGTTATCGAGTTTACACTGGGGGAAGAATTCGCGGAGGTCGAAGTAAAACGAAGCCACCTGCCCTCGTAATGGAAAGCATCCGCCGATATTTATACAAGGAATTACACTGATCATCACGCTCAAGCGACTAGCTCGCAGTAGTGTTCTGCCGAATATTATCAATTTCCTGCAAGCATATTCGACGACATCCGAGCTTATAGACCTACTGTTGACCCAGTCGATTTTAAATCATCGGTTAGTACAGTATTGAGCTCATGTTCACAGCGCATTATTACACTAAGCCCATATTATCTGTATTTATCCTGGCACATCGAAGAGGCAAATCGAAGGCATTCATCGATTCACTCAATTGTCGTCGTGAATAGGGGCGTGCCGTAGGACCACACCATGTTGATTGTTCATTGCTTCTCCGCTGTCTGGGTGCGGACGTGGAGGGTTAAGCTGTTTAATCTGCTACTCGCCGTCCAAATATCCAATCAACACATCTACACGGATTTGCTGGTTTGCTATTGCATGACACATGCACCTCCACATTAAGCCTGAATTGGCCAAATATTAATGAGACTTTAACAACTCGGCTAGAAGTAGTATCTCGAGGCGCCGGAAGTATATTGTTTTCAGGGATCATTGCTATCGTAACGATTGTAACGCTACGGCTGAGAGGAAGGCGTCGAATGCATGTACTCCGGAATACTTCACATGGACACCGAGCTGATTAATGGCATGAGCCTGTCAGATTTGCATATTTTCCCCTTAGAGCATCTCCACTCGAGCGTGTTATTGCTAATCAAGAAAATATTTTTCCGTAACAAATGCTAAAAATAGCTTACGCCATCCCAGTCGGTGCTCTATTGCTATCTAAATTTATAAATTTCAAGCAGGTGGGCTATTCCAAATATGAATAGAGCGCGAGATCTATTGCAACAGCTGCATTCGGCAACGGACTACCAGAGTACAAAAGCGTCATCCACCATTCTACAATGGGACGAGGGCGCAAATGGGAGACTCTGCAAGATGAAGCGCTAGTTCGCGCATATTTAGACCTCTCTCAAAACGCCATTCAAGGTGCAGAGCAGAAGGCAGCGTCTTTCTGGGATTCAATTCTCAATCGATTTAATAACGCAACAAAGCCGAAGAAGGAGGAAGTTCGTACTGCGCAAGCGCTTCGCAATCGATGGTCTAGTATTTCTCACAATGTGGCCAAATTCGTGGGGTGTTATAGTGTTATTAAGGCCCGTAATGAGTCAGGCAAGAGTGCGGATGACGTTATGAAAGACACTCGATTACTATTCAGAGAGCAACAAGGATCCGAGTTTTCTTTCGAGAGTTGCTGGTTGATTCTGCAGAAATGCCCGAAGTTCATGGATGGGATTAGAACCCGTGGGTCCGGATCTAACGCTGGTGTGGCAGGTGAAGTAGAGAAGGAGAGGCCAACAGGACGAAAAAAAGCCAAGACTGATCTAGCCGCGGAAATCGAGGATTCTAAGAAACTGAAACAACTCGTGGATGACAACAAAGAGCGAAACTCTGTGATCTTTGCGCAAATGAAGCGCAAGAACGACTTGATTGAGGAGCAGCTTACAATGGACCTGTTTAAGACAGACCCGAATTCTGAAGAATCCAAAACCTTTTTCAGTTTCATGCGCAAGAAGCGTCTAGCCTCTATCATGGATAGAGAGGCAGCTCGAGAACTAGGAGCGTGCAAGACAAATGTCAAAACTCACCTGAGCCAGATGCCGATGTAGCTATACGTGTCAACGGTACGGTTGGAAATGACGCTGGTTCTATCGAGGAATAAGTAGCTCGTCCCGCCATTTAAGACAATCTATGAACACGATCATTGACTTGCTTTAACCTTAATAAACAAATTACCACAAAAACAATCGTCGAGTCCTTGCCATTATCAAAGTTAAAAAAAATTAAAGTAGCAAGTCCTACCATAAAATACTTGAAATGTATTAATGTGTACCATTCCAACTCCAGAAATGTCGGCAAAGTACCTCTCGCATGGCTAAAGATGCGCTGTTGTCGTGAAGAACTTTAAGGCGCTTGCATATCTCCATTATTGAACCCGCCAAGCATTCATCCGCTGCTGCAGACACGTGTACGGGTTCGAGGGGTTGCTGCTTGGCGGTTGCATTCAAATTTTCTGTACCGTACGGATCAGGAAGGTAGTCAGGCACGTTTTCTCCTCGCAACTCGATCACCATGTTATGTAGAATGAC